CGCCGTGATATATACCCCCCCCCTCCTTCCTCCCCCGGTGCAGTAAACTCTGGCTGCTCGAGTTGGGCCTCCATACGGCGCGCGCGCCGCCCGCCGGGCCAGCCGGGGGCCGGGGTTCCTTCTGCACCCTTCCACCGCCACGAGGGTGGGCGAGAGAATGAGGCCGCGCAGAGCCGTGCCGGTAGGTACCGGGTACCGGTGGGCGGTGAGCACCTCCCGAGGGCGGCGCGGCGAGTCCTGGGCAGCCGTGCGCCGGCCAGCTAGGCAACTCTTCCGGCTCCAGCGCGTGGGCTCCGTCCCAGCCAGGTGTGGTGCGGGCGTAAGCCTCCCAAGTACGACCACACAACCGAAACACTTTAATCCACGAGCATTTTGCACACTTATTTAAGTACTTAAAAAGGTATTTTAGTAAACAATAAAAGTGTAGGCTCCCCAGACAAATACGTAGCATCCACAGCCAGTATCGAATATAGAGAGCAGACTTCCCAGTAAAATGCGCGTACTTCAAATTGAATTGAATATACTCAGTTAACCCTGTTAACATTCGACTGTGCACTGCTCGTCTATTTGTGCATGCATTCGATGCATAAGGGCGTCGGAATCACAGCTGAATAAGAACAAGTATTTTTTTTATTTACCCGGATTTACATAATGTTCTATCAATATTTGCTTTTTTGACATCGCTCGAGAAAAGCCAATAGAAGATAAATAAACAAGACCGAGACCGAAATGAAGAAGAAGTTGCACCATTTGTTGTCCGCCGTGATGTGCAGAAGTAAAACCCACCAACGAAGCGCGCCGCGGGGCAGGGCAGCGTGCAGAGTGAGATGTCGCGTTCTCCTTTACCACACATTTTTCCTCCCTTTTTTTTAGCCCTCCTTTTGGAGCCGGCCTCCCTCAGCGCACACGCATACACACACAAGCGACATACGCCCCCCCACCCCCCAGCCCCGCTATGCGAAACACGTCGACAAGCCCCGTGGACTCGTGTGTGAGACGCGATATAGCAGACGACACGTGATAGCGGAGCCTCCAGTCGGGCTCTTCCAGCTCCAGGCGACACGCCGCGCCACCGCCGTGATTGTGTCCAACACACTTTTTTTCTTTCCTTTTTTTGTTCGTCTGATAGGAGCAGGGGGCACACTTTTCACGCGCCTGATCTTTGCTTCTTTGGGAGTACGTGGCAGAGAGAAAAATAGGGGAAGAGGGAGGGATAGAAGAGAGGCTAGTGAGAGGGAGTGAAAGTGTGTGTATAAGAGTAAGAGGGATCAAGAGAGAGGGGGGGAGATAGAGAGAGGTGCCATGAACGTTCATCGTCCCTTTCCGATGAGGCAAATCGGCCCTCGACCAGTAAAGGGGCACTTCCCCTTGTCTCTTTTTGTCTCCATTCGTCCACCCGCTTAAAGGGGGCAGGGGCCAGCAGCAATGGGCGCAACCAGCTGCTTCTGTTTCCTATACTCGAGGAGAGACATAGGAAGGGCGAAGGGACAGAAGAGGCAAATCGTTTCCAACAACAGCCATTCCACGAGACAGCAGCGGCAACAGCGCGGCGCAGGGGGCGCCCCCTAGAGGCCTGCAGCTGTAGCAGTAGCCGCCAGGCTGCTGCAACCTCCCCTAGGACAATCAAGAGGATGCATATCCGGCCATCTCGGACAGAGGCAGTCAGAGAGAGAGACAGGGACAGCATAGGGGACACAGGAGTGCGGCGGAGAATATTGCTACCGACTGAGGCTCATAGGGGGCCGAGCAGGACGCTTGGGCGGGGGCCATATACGAATCGGCCCGGATTGAAAAGGCGTTCCGACCAATCGGAGCGTGACGCCACTGTGGGACCGGAAGTAACAGGCATTATCATTGGCTTGGTACACGCTCTGGTGACACACACACCCGGACACACTCACACACAGAAACATTTCGGCGGCACGGTGTAGTACACGGCTGCAGTTCACTTCGCGTCAACACCACGGGAGCACGCCCTACGCTTGCCCACGCCACCTGGACTAGCTTCGCATCTACCACAACGGCCGCAGCTGAGATTTGGATTTGTAATGGCGTAACGGCCCAACTTGGGCAAGGCAGTAAAGCTCGCCGGGCATGCGCGCGGGTTCTGCGCCGTCGCGGACTTGCAGTTGGGCAGCGGTGCAGGTTTGAGCGCGGGTTGAGCCCCTCTGCGCTCGTCGGACGGGCGGGTGGGTCGGGTGGGGTGAGGTGGGAGGAGAAGGCGGGGTGGGCCACGCCCACGGCAGCAGCAGTGGGGCGTGGACAGCACCAGTGCCAGTGCAAGCGTGACTTGAATCAAACAGTGACCATGAGGGGCCCTGCTTGGTGTGGCGTGGCGGGGATGGGGCGGGGCGTCGACCGGGTCCTGACGACGTGTCCCTACATCTTCCGCGGCCGTCACATGGCTATACGCCCTCGCCCCGCAGGAGGTACAGCCCCCCCCCCCTCCCTCCCTACAACAGCCGGGCCACCCATCCAAAGGGCCCATTAGCGAAGTGAAGGAAGAATAACCCCATAGAGAGTGCTACGGGCGGGCTAAGGCCCCAGCCCTGGCGGTGGGGCGGGGCTCTCGGTTTGGCTAAGGAGGCGGGGTGGGCGGGACGC